TTATAATATATTTTTTAAAATTTAGTTTTAAAATTATAAAAACTGAACAGCCTACAGTATTTTTACAGTCTTTATTTTACAGTTAAAATAAATGTTTATCAAATAAAGTCTAATGTTACAACTAATCGTGGATCCCTTTAAGCAAACATGAAKGTGAAAAAAGGCTATAAACGACAGCGCTACATTAGAACCGTATTCTTCGTGTCTCTTATCAAACGTAATTCCTGTTCAAAGCAATTCAAAGCAGGTCAAGTGTTAAACCGAAATGACAATCCTCAGGAAGTTATTTTGCTGATAACATCTAATGGCATTGCTCCCATCTCTTCACAGCTCTCCGGTTCACGTTTTAGAGRAAAGCCACTGAGACGGCAACGCTCGGAGCCAGTTCATTGTCCTGCTGGCAACGCTGAAAGGCAAACGGTCAAATGGGACAGGGGAAGCTGAGCCGTGTTTGTACATGGATATTATCCAGGGGCTTAGCTGTCTTGTACACAAGCAATTTCCCATGGGAAGAAACAGAAAGCCCACACCAAGCTCCCACTCTCTGCCCTAGTCACTTAGAATTGACCATACCTCTACTTCCTGGGCTGCTTATTCTATAAAATTACCAATCAATATTCATAAAATTATGTGTTCCTATCTTTTATCCATTTCTCTCCAAGTTCAAKCTTGCCGTTCTGCTGTGCGATGCACTCCTAAATGAAGCAACCTCACATAAACGACGACAAAAACTAATCTTTGTGAATGTTACYGTTTTACAGGTCATGTCAGACTCACGTGGTGAGCAGCCACCGGGACTGCTTGGCCAGTCCCAGACAGGCCAGCAGGCAGATGATCAGGTCCAGGATGAGCAGCAGCAGGTAGGTCAGCCATCTGCAGAAAGACACAACGAAAGATTAAACTACCGATGTTGAGTACGTTTAACATGCGGATGGGAGGGATTTGTCAAAGAGAAACTACAATTTAATAAAACTTGCATCCCAGGATTGTAAAACCATCCCTCCGGCAGATCCAATTTAGCATCAACCTCTATTGAATGTGTTCTGAGGGCAAGTTGAAGCAAGAACGACTAAAGAAAATAAGTGTCCAGTCGTTACATTGGGTAAAAATTAGATTTATAATTCATTTAAAGACTTACACAATTCAACATTAAATAAAACACAAGCTTTGCTTATCAATCTGGTGAAAAAAAAAAAAAAACATCCAAATTGAGGCCATTCAAATCACTATCTACAACAGGTAGGATATTGTTTGCTTATAATCTTTCCATTTTTGGTTTGAACAATCCCTTAAGAAAACGAGCATGGCTCATCAAAAAGAAGAAGAAAAGTCATCCTGCTAACTTGTAATATTTATTATTAGACACATGGTCAGCTGAGGTGGATGTTTGAGGTCAAACTCCGCCCTCTTTAGGTTAACCATCTGTTCTGTGAGCAGCAGCTGAGCAACACAAAATCTGTTCAGGTGCTTAATAATGAATGGCTTCAAAACAACGGAGGGTTGTCATAAAAACTGTCTTTTTCTTTGATTTTTTTTCACCTCTACACTGAAATTTGTCACCGTGTCCCACCTGTCAAGTGTTCCTCTGTTTTTATTTTTCATCAGTGTTCATCAATTCAGTCCTACCTTATCTTTTTAAATTTCTTTTACTTACCACTAACCTGTAATCTAAGCACTTGACAAAATCCTGTCCACACAACCTCATCTCTGAAGCTCTTGTTCCTCTTCTTTTTTTATCCCCCCCAATTTTTCTCTCGCTGTTTAATCTCCTCCAATCTCCMTGTTTATTCAGCTTTTCTCTTTCTCGCTTGTCTTTTCTCTGTCAACACCTCCTCTTCGCRGCTTCGTTCTTGTTCAATATTCCCCACTTCTGACGGGGTGCAGCTGAAGAAGCTGAAGAAGCGACACGGGAGGCTCTGGGGGCGCCGCCATGTTCGCCTCCGTCACCCAAATCCAATTACTCAAAGTGAGTAAAGRGTGGATACAAAAGGAGGTGGAGGGGGGAGCATGTTATGACAAAAAAAATAAGATATTTCCCCGTGAAACCTTTGGTTAGTAAACGCAAACACAACATGAAAGCTTCTGTTGAGCTACATTTTGTTCATCCAGAATGAAATACAGAAACTAACTCTGCACGTGTGGCTCAGAAAAGTAGCATGAAATCAGCATTATGCCTTAAGAGTAGAAACAACATGAGGTGAGAGCACTTCTCCTTTAGTCAGTCCAATTAAAAACATTTTTTATTTTATTCAACCATACAGAAACTGTTGGGGTCCAGGCAGRAATAATGAGTCCATTAAAAGCTTACAGCGTTAGTCTGCCCGCTCTTTTAGTGTGAAGCTGTGTGGAGCAGAGGAGTCTCATYACATCAGTACAAACACAACTGCCCATTTGTCACTGCAGACTCCACAGAAATGCTACCAAGRGCCAAAAGATGGTCCTGTTCGCAACAGGGATTACTATTCGCCCGGGTGATCAAAGGTCCACAAGGGAAAGGTCAAATCCAAAGTGCAGAAAACTGTGCTTTCATGAATGAGCAAAAAAAAAGCAGAAAGGTCAAAAAACACCCGTTTTGTAGAGCTCCGAGGATGTGTGGCTCTTTGATGAGTCAGTGAGAAACTGTTCGCACGTGAACCAGTCGTCTGCATAGAAAAGCAGCATTTAAAGGGGGTATTGTGTAAAATCTACTTTTGTGAGCTTTGTATATTGTTATGTATATTATTA